TATAAAAATTCATGCCTTGAATTTCAAGTATTTTATATTTTTCAATACAGTTCATATATATTCATTTAATTGTTTTATTAAGATATCCTAGCTGCCTTCGAATAGAGTATTTGGCCTATTATAGTGAGTGCACATTACTCAAGAAATGTGATTCGCATTGTTGAATATTTTTCAAAAGACACGTAAATAATAGGATGCGATGAATTATAATCACTATAGATTATAAATTTTTTCTATTATTTGCTTCTTTTTATATATACCCAACAATGTGTATAACCACCTACTATAAACGAGGCTTTAATAAACGAAGAAAATTACTATAATAAATTTATAATACATGATCTAGAAATTCTATTCATCCTCCTCTTTTTTTCTCGTTCATACACAACGTCAGCATATATTTTCTGCAATATTTTATGATTTAATCTTTGGTTTTTTTAACTTAATTTATATATTTAATTTAAAATAAAACACATAAATAATATATCTCATTTTAACTTAAGATTGTGAACCATGTAATCTATATTTTATCTTACAATTTAAATAGGTATAGATGGGCTAAGTATGTGATCTATTTTTTTTAATAATTTTATCAAAGGTTAATTTGTTTTCCTTTTTCGAATTTCATTTTTTCTATATTGATAATTTCCTAAAATAACCGTTTTTTAAACATTAAAAACTTTACTTATCGGTTAAAAATATTTTTAAAAATTTTATAAAATATTACATATAAAAATATACAACCAAAAATTTCAAATAAATAAAAGGAGAAAAGAAATTAAAAGAAACGGAAAGAGAATTATATATGAGAAATGCAGATGCTCAAAATAAACGGACAAATACCTAATAAAATGTTTTGGTTAAGGTAATAACCCCCAAACCTAATTTGATATCTCATATTTGTAGATATTTTTCGAGCGATTCTAAATAAAAATATCAGTCAAAGATCCGGAAATATTGGTGGCTATGGGAACATTGATTCCGTTGTCAAGATTTGAGTATTTGTATTTTTGTAAGATTCGCCCTTAACTAAGGAGGAGTGAGAATGTTTGAACTTATCGGAAATGAGATAGTAAAGGGGCCCTGGATAAGGGTATTTTATAAAATAAATGTCTGACCTTTTTGAACTTTCACTAAGTATAACTACTGATTCGTGATTAGAAGTTATGTTCACTTTAGTAGGATATTGCAGCTAATCGGATAGGGATTTTGAATGTTAAATATAATATGTATTTTGATAGTTTATGTGGATTAATTTTTGTAGGATATATAGGTATTGTAAGCAAGGGTCGTAAAAAAAGAGGATAAAAGGCTTCCTATTTTAAACTAAAATATACTCTTTCCACATTTTTTTTAAAACTATATGATTTTATAAGATTTTATAAAATAGGAAAATATAATTTATTTAAAATGAGTAATAAATTTTCAAACAAATATAATTAAAAAATACATAGGTACATATTGTCTTCCAAATTCAATCTTTAAAAAACCAAACTTGCCATTATTTCATTTTGTTTTTTTAAACTATCAATTTATTATTAAAAATAAAAGCAATGATTTTATATATATTAAATATCAATAGTGAATAATATATGTTTGATATTTTCTAATTCATAAAATAATCTGTTAAGTGCGAAAGCTCATAATTTGTATTCGCGATATTTCGAGTAAGTCAAATTCATTTATATTGTACGATATAAAAAAAATAATCAAAAATAATTATTCAGACAATATCTCTTGCATAAAAGAAAGTAATTTATTAAATAAACGTGTTAAAATTTATATTACAATCCAATTTAATATATTTATAGATGGAGATAGCATAAAAATAAATGGTTTAAAGATTTACCAGCTTACTTTTTTTTGAATACATTATCAAATATTTAAAATTTAAGCAAGGATTCAAAATTAATTGTATATCATATTTACGCCATAATTTTATAATTATAGCAAACACTCTTACTGTCATACATTTAAATGGTAGGTTTTTAAATTTTATATACTTTACAAAAAAATATTTACACCACTTACAGAATACATAGATAGAATGGACTATTACATCGAAAGTTTATTATATAACCATTTAAATTACTTGCTAATTTTTTTTTGTAAATAAGAGATGTGCGAAGCGACCTCTAAAAATTAAAAATACCAGGAACGGGATGTTTTATTAACAAACAGCCTGGCTGGGACAAAAATTATGCAAATCTCCGATTTTTTCGTAAAATTTTAATCAGCCAGCCCGGGCTTTAAGGTTTTAATTTTTTTGAATTTCAAACTAATATTTTGATTAATACTATGAAAATAAATTACAATATGTTATTTCTTTGTAATTTAAGAGCTGTCTTACTTATATACTAAATCTTTAAATTTACAAAATATTTATTTAAAATAAGATTCATTTAAAAATGCACAATACAAATACAAACACATTTTTGATTTATAAAACGGTTGTTTTAGAAATAAGATAGCCACAGAGGAGACATGTAATTGTTCTAAAAAATTAAATAAAGATAACAAAAATTTGATGACCGAAAAATTGATATAAAAATTTAACGAATGGGGTAGATTCTTTGTAAAATTTTATTGAGCTAAGTCCGATTTTTATTAAATTTTTAATGGCTGGTCAAATTTTTTAAAGTTGTATAACGGGCCGGAGCGGACCTGGCAAAATTTTTTTTTGACCGGACAAATTTTAAGGAAAATCCTAACGTCTCAAGCGAACCATGTCGGTCTTTGCAGACCTATTATGTCTATCTTTTTTTTTATATAATGAATAGTGCTGTATAATTTATAATTATATTCCCAAAACGATAATTATCCCAAAATATCTATTTAAATATTTGTCTAATATTAAAAAAAATTCCTAGCTATAAAGTTTATAATTTTGTTTGGTCTTAAAATTTGAAGTAAATAGGTAATATTACAATGGGACTTAAAGAAAATTTCTTAGATTTTAATATTTATTTTTCTTCCAGCTTGTGTAATTAGATTTGAATAGATGTTAGTCAACAATAATACGCATGTGTAGTCTCATATTAAAAATTTTCCACAATCTCGAGGAATTTTCGTAAGACAATCGGGCCTTAAATCATCAAAGGCTCTAGATCATTATTATTCCAAAAACAATTAATATCACAAATTTTACCTTTTATACATATACATATTAAACAAAGGATAATAATTCCTTCTCTCTACCAACATATAATAAAAAAAAATGTTTTAACAGCTAAGCCTTATCAGCTGTTCCGATAAAAAAGAGTAGGATTAATTGAATCGTGTTTTGGTATGTGATCGTGAACGTAATGATATTACATTCAATTATTGTGATATGTTAGTTATAATTTGTAAATTTATAAAGTTGAACCATATATCGCATATTCATATCAAAACATGATTCACCCTCATTTATTATTAAATTCCATATAATAGAAACAAACATATCAAATTATACTATACAAAATTGTTGTGCCAGGGGCGGACTGGCGACGCTAAAGCCTCGTGTGCATTTTTTATAGAGGCCTCATTTATATGGGGACGATCCCCCATACCCCCATTTTACGGGCCTTCGGCCCGCTTTTGCCCGGTCTTCGACCGGGGTCCTTTAAATGCATATATTTTATTTAAACAAAATGCACATCTAAAATCATATTCATTACCTATATAAAATAATATTCATTGCACGTATTATTTCATTAGATTTACAACGATATTGCACTATAAAATCAAATCATACATCACATGTTAAATATAAAAAAAATGCATACTCAATATATTAAATTAATTCATTATAAATATAAAATTAATGCTTGTACAATATTACAGAGAAAAAAATTGCTGCACTTTTATAAAATCAGCACCTATCATATTGTAAATAATATTAATAAGATTATAATATAAGAATTAAGAAAATATATAATTTTTACGTTAATAGGTCTCTCATTAACTTTGAACCTTTGCGCAAATATAAAGGAATATCTTAGAGTTCAATCTACGCTAATAGTTCTCGTTCCACTGACATCATTATAAACGCTTCTAATTTTTCTTGGTCAATATTAGCTCTCAGCTTATTTTTATAATTTTTAATTAACTAAATGCTTTCTCGCAATTAACTTGCGTAAATGATAACGTTAAAATAATATATTAATATGCCAAAAATCAATAAGTGTCATTTGTATGCATATTGTATCTTTTAAGAATTTCATACACGCATATTAAACACTTGTTACATTTATTATCACACTTTGATTTATTATCATATTGTAATATTTTATCTTCTTCTTTTGACTCCTAACTTGTACTTGTACATACGATATCATCGTCCGTTTCATTTAATTCTGCTACCAAATCTTTGAACTGGCAAATGAACATAATTCGTTATGAAATTTAACACAATATATATGCCAATTGTGCCAGTTTTTCCAAGGCCTTTTCAGAAATACCTATACTATTTATTTCATCACTTGGATGCAAATATTGCACATTCAAGATAAGCCCTCAATATGCAGAAAGTAGTTCCGACAAGCTGTTTATATTTTGATCAATTATAGGACAAAATAGTTCAAAGTAATAAAGGTCAATCGATTTTTGAGGACGTTCATGTTGGCATTTGTCACTATATATTCTCTTCGCTCGTCCTATTCGATCTTTTTACCTAGCATTTTGTACTCAGATACTCTACGGGAGCTATAAATATGAAAATGTTTTATTTATTAGAAGCAGGGTTTCGAACCGAACCGAACCGAACCGCCAAACCGGAATGAACCGTTATAATTTTCTGAACCGTAACCGTAACCGAACCGTTATAAAGAAACTATAAAAAGAGCGAACCGAACCGTTATAAATATTTTAAACCGGTTTAAACCGGTTCAAAACGGTTTTAAAAAATAATTAAATTTAAACATTATTAACCTAAATTTGAAATTTGAATTTTCCTTGGGGAAATTTTTAAACTCTTTATTTCTTTTTAAATTGAATTTTTTTTACATGTCAATTAATACCACCATGTTTATTGTTTTTTCTTTTCACTTTAATAAATACTCAATTTAATAGAGATTAGGCGAATTACCAGTTAATTAGATAAGAATCTTAAAATCAAACAAGACTATTCTTTAAATTAACAAGTTTATTCTTATATATATATATATATATGTATATTAGTTATTAATTAGCTTATTAATACTTGCTAATAATTTGGGAAAAATCATAATTCTAACTAACATCTAAAGAAAATCAGGTACTGATTACTTTTAATAAAATACTGTTTTATATTAATTTCTTATTAATTAATATTTTCAAAATGAATAATTTATAATGACTTAAATGAATATTAGAATTCTGAAATTAAAAAAAAACATATGATTGTTAATTAATATTCCTGTATTTTATGGTTAATTTATTTATTTATTTCCATTTACACTTTAGTGGATAATTTCTTGAAATAATAACTACTTACTGATTAACCTTCTAAATCTTATAGTACCAAATAAAATATAAACACATGAAATTCAATTGGATAATTATAAAATGATAAAGTATCCATTAAAGTTTTAATTTAATTAACTTTAATTTTTTAATAAAATACAGTTGTTTTTGGAATTTTAAACAGCTTTTCTATTTCTTTTCTTCTTATTTTATATCTTATCTTTTTGCTTCTTTCTTTTCTCTATTAAATCAAATTATTTATTAAAATGGTATTAGTATGCTCCATTCACTTATTTAGTTTCATCTGTGTACAAGGTTTGTTGTTAGTATCTTTGAGGAAAAAATCGGCATAATTATATGAAGGGTAGGCCTGCATATAATTCACGTTTTTGGGGGAGATCTTGTCAGATAAGATAAATAAAAAATTATACTGATTCTATTAAGAAATTTATTTATTCTATTTTTATAATAAAAGATTCTGATCTATTCATCATCATATAGCATATTAGTATCTATTAAATGGTTCGGGAAAAGTCAAATCCTGTGCGATCATATTTTAAATTAGATATTGTAAAAAATCAATCTACTTGTAAACTAGAAAACTGTGGTAAAGTTTTAACCGGGGACCATGCAGCAAATCTTGAACGACATATAGAAAGATTCCACGATAAGGAATTCAAATTATTAAAAAAAAAAAAGATAATTTTAAAAAAACAATAACAAAAAATGCAAATAATCATAATACAATTCAAAATGCTTTTACCAAAACTAATACAATACAAATTAATATTAATAAAGACACTTTAATCCGCTCCTGCACTGAGTTAATCACAGTTCATGGGAGACCAATAAAATCAATTGATGACAAAGCATTTAGAAATATTATAGATCCGATAATTGTAGGATTGGGTGGTAATTTAACCATCAATTCTGAAAATATACGCAATAATATTTAAAAAATGGCATTTGATTTTTCGCAAAATTTAAAAAAAGAAATATACCAAAAACTTATATCGTTAAAATTAGATATTGCAACTCGATATGATAGGTCCATACTGGGGATCAATATTCAATTTATAGATAATGGAGAAATAAAATTAAGAACGTTATGCATGAAAGAGATAAAAGAAAGACATACATCAGAATATCTAAAAAAAATTATTCTAGATGTTCTAAACGAACATGAAATAAGAATTGATCAAATTTATACGTTAACCACAGACAATGCAGCTAACATGATTAAATTAATCAAGCTGTTAATACATCATGATGATGAAGATGATATCCTTAATGATTATTTAGATAATGATAATTTAAATAACAATGATGATATAATTGTTAATGAAAATGAAGAACCTTTTTTTAATATTGAAAGTATTAATCTTATCCTCATACGAGATCCATGTTAATGGGCATTAGATGTGCCTCCCACACATTTCAATTAGCAATTAATGATTGCATAAAAAATTCAAATGAAATTGTTATTATTAATAAAGCAAGAAACATTTGCAAAAAAATAAGAAATCAGACTACAATGTCTATTTTGTCCAAATTAAATTTAAAAAAGCCACTAATAGATTGTTGCACAAGATGGAATTCAATCTATTTAATGTTGGAAAGATTATTAGAGTTAAAAAACTTTTGCCAAGAAATATCGGGATAAAGTAATGATCGTGAAAAATGTTTATCAGAGAATGAATGGAAAATAATTAGTGATATATTAAAATATCCATTTTATATTTTGACAAAATATATACAAAGTGAACAAATGACCATGTGCGATTTTTATGCAGCATGGATCAAATGTATCATGCAAACTAGCAAAATAGACACTTCATTTGCCAAACTTTTAGTTTGTACAATCAAAGCACGAGAGATTAATTTGAAAAATGAAGTTTTTTGCTCAGCTATATATCTCGACCCAAGATATAATGTATTTTGATTATTTGAAGAAAAAGATATCGCCAAAAAACATCTTTATAAAACTTGGAACTTAATCCAAAATTTAAATAATCAGAATATTGAAAATCTAGATACTATTCCTACGTGTTCACATTCGAAAGATAACTTAGATGATGATTTTGAAGATTTATTAATGTCGCATGAAAGCCTTAATAAGAATAGTTCTCAGGGCATAGAAAATTATAATAAATGTGTAGAAATAGAGTATATAATTCGGTCATTTGATAATATAGAGAGATTAGAAAAAGATGCAAATCTTTTGAATTATTGGGAAAATGTAAAGAATAGTATGCCAGAACTTTATAAGTTAGCTATGATTGTGCTAGCAGTTCCAGCTACGCAGGTATCCGTAGAAAGAGCATTTTCTAGCCTTAAGTTTATACTCTCTGCGCAAAGAACTTAATTAAATCCTGAATTATTAGAAAATATTTTAGTTATCCGTTCCAATTCTCTTTTTAAAAATAAATAATATAAATTTCATTATATTTATGTGTTATTTTATTCCTCATTGTATTTGCGCATGTTTGTGTTTATCTTATTTATGAAATAAAAAGAATTGATTTGTCTAATTTATATTTACTAAGTTTAATAAAAATATCTATTAGATTATCATTCATGGTTAAATTAAATAAGAAATTATAAAAAGATTTTTCTCTAAAATTAATATATACATGGTTAATGATTAATTTTTTTTTAAATTAAATTTATAAAAACCGGAACAAACCGAAAAAAACCGTTATAAATTATAAACCGAACCGAACCGATATGATTATTTTTTAAAAAACCGAAATGGAACAAAACCTTTATAAAATTTTAAACTAAAAACCGGAACGAACCGAACCGTTATACTAAACGGTTCGAAACCCTGATTAGAAGCCATTTTATTGCTTTATTTTGAATCGATGTAATAATCGATGATATAGAAGATTTAGCATCTTCTTTCATTTTCTATGCTGACAAAGTACCTAATTTTTTAGTTTGAAAATATGACAGTGGCCTCATTATCTTAAAAATTTCCAAATATATTTTAGCTGTACTTAGAGTCTTAAATTTACATAAATTATCAAGTTTTTGTCTCAAATTATTTATTATCTATTATAAATTGAAGTGCCTTTATGTTATTGGGAGCAAGCTCTCTTTACCATATATCCATCTAAGGGCTTAAACATGACCACCACCTTATATCACCTATTTTTTGCAGCCTTCTCAACTTATTTGGCCAGATAAGTTATTCTGTTTCACCCAAGCATCCATCCTTTTATCGGATTCACCGACCTGGATTTTATTTGATTTCAATGAATTAAGAACAAGAAATGTTGGCTATATTATTTCTATAATAAATCAATGTATAAAAATATAATATAATAAATTAATCAAAACTTAGCTTTAACTCTACTCAAACGGAAGCGTTTTCACTTCATTTGAAAAAAAAAACAAAGAAAAGAACGTGGTAATGATGTATAGCGTCAAGCGACGTTATTGATATATTATGCATAATATAGTAAACGACAATTCTCAAGGAATGTTATATTCAAATCATAGAGATATCATTAAAAATAAATAAAAGATAAGAGAAAATAATGTGAACATAATAATATTTTTTTCTAATCGGCCTCTATTTTGATATTTTCCACTGATCGGCCTCAAAAATTGACATTTTATCGCGGTCTCGTGGGCGAAATCACCTGGTCTTATGGCCAGTCCGCCCCTGTGTTGTGCCATTTTAGTTATAATTTTTAAATTTAAAAAATTTGAATATTTCTATTATTTAAAAATATTTAGGTACAAATTTGTGGATCGGAATAAGTAAATAAATAAAATATGAATAATTTTTAAAATATATAACAATATAATAATTTAAAATGATCAGATATGGGATGGAGCAATGCAGACCTTACTCTTAACCTAGGTACAAAATTATTGAGGAAATTTAATTTTATAGAATAATTTTAAATAGTTCAAGAAAATACACCGAGGAGTAAAATATATAGTTTTTTTTTTACTTTGGGATATTAATAGTTATGATAATTAATATCTTTGCTGAAATTCTAGGTTAAATATCATGATATTTTTAAAGAAATCGACACCACACTTTCAGGGTTGGAATGAAATATCTATGCTTTCTTTTAAATTTTAGTATATAGTATAATAAATATTAAAAGATATAAATTGAAGCTAAAAACTAATTATATAATTTTTGTTAAGTCTTTAAGATCTAATAATAAAATAAGTTATTAGTAAAATAAAATTATAGCCTTTATCTAATGCAAGATAGTTACTTCCAAAAACTGATGAAAAATTTAAAAATTTCTTTAATTTCATGAATAAATAGGTTTAGATTATAATATTATCCTTTAAATATATTTGGCCCCCCTCATGAAATAATGCGAGGATGTCTAATTCACATTTGGAAGTAGGTCCTGTTGTCATTAATTAGTGCAATTTTTTTTTATTAAAAAATAATGTAATATATAAATGTCAGGAGCAAGTCAGAACTTATAAAAATCAACTTAGAAAAAATATAGTTTTATAATTTTATTTGTATCCATATTCACATATAATATAGAACTAATTTTCATATCATTTAGTATCAATAACAAGATACGCGTTTGATCCAAGTAAGATACTATTTAATTAAAAGTATAATGAGTAGCTATAATTTTCTATCCTGAATAGATGGATATGGTTAGCATACAATTTGGAAAAGCTAAATAGTGTATAAAATAAAAGAATTCAAAGAATTTATAGATATTTTTTATTTATAATTTTACATTATTATACTATCATATACAATAGAATATTACAATTACTTTTAAAAGTTAAGTTTATCCCTTGTTAATAATTCCTATCCAATACTAATAATCATCCCCGAATATTATGTAGTCTACTTGTGAAATTGATGCAATATATTTGTTTTTATAGAAATTAAAAAATTCGGTAAGTATAAATTGCATAAAAATATAATATATTAGCTAGTCAATGCACTAATAAAAGTTTAGGCCAAGGGCCCACCTTTAAAAAAATAAATCGGTGACCAGTCACTTATTTGTTGCTTTCATATATGATTATAGAATATTTTTATTAATTTACATAATAAATTTTTCCAAATTTCTAATAAAATTTTTTATTTAAAATACACATAAATTTAAATAAAAATATGAATATGGAAATTTTGATATATTTTTAAATCTTTATTAAAACAAATTAATTTATATTTTTATAAATTAATTAAATAAACAATAAATTTTATTTTAAAAATTAATAACTTTACTAAAAATGATATGGTTTACAATTAAATCCATAATTTTAAATATAATACATATATTAAAATCTTTTATAATAAATTTGCTATTTCTTTTAAATTTTTTTTTCTTCTTTTTTTAAAAAAATAACAAAATTATTTATCGTTTTCAATTAAATTTAAACATTCAATTGGTAGGTTTTTATCTCTAATAATAAAATTAGATTTATATTAATTTTAAACCTTATACCAATTTCTTCATTCGTGGCATCAAATTTAATGAACAACCAATGATATACTTTTTAAATTCGGCATTGACCGCTTGGAAATCTTTTGCCTTATTATAAGCTGTTAACACAGTTTTAAAATAAAAATCAGTTTTTATTTTAATTATATTGTATTAAAAAATACCCTCATTGTATCCATCTGTGAAATGTATTCAACTACTACAAAATTAGCTAAAAATATAATT